AAAATCAACACTCAACATACTCACCGCTTTTTATATGTGTTCCACTGGATGATCCAAGTGGAGATCACCGGCAAGAGAGACACATAGGCTCGTAATGCACCCTACCCATCATAACAACAGTCTTATATACTGGCTCATATCACGAGTGTTTACAAGGCATTCCTCTCTGCGGTTTATGGTTGGATTGGTCGTATTAACAAAATGCTTCCAAGATCTTTCGCGCTGATGTTTTTTGCTCCTGCGCAAGGATGGTGACTTCGATTTCAAAATCAACTCCGTCGTGCTTCTGTGCTCTATGCGTCCCTAGCGGGGTGTTTTGTCTATTAAGACGCTTGTCAGCTAGGTGTTCTTCTATGCGTGCATAGAGCGGCCTACCCGTTTCGCCAACATATTTATCACTACACGCTTTGCAAGAGATTAGGTAGACTGTACCTACGCTCATGCAATCACCGTCTCTGCCGTTAGGACATATTTTACAATCTTTCATCATACAGAGACGGTCATATAAGCGGTTGCGAACTAGTTGGCGTTTTAGAGTATTCGGTGGTATTTCAATAATGACCACCGATTGCTCTAAACCCGCTCTTTTCAAACATCGTTTTATAGCTGTACTAATCTCATTTGAATAGAACGGGATGATAAACGGGACTTTCCTTTCAACCAAGTTTTCTGCAACTCTATTGAATAAACTGTCGAAGTATGCTGATAATCGAAGTCACTGTAGTCGACGAGGTGACGCATTGCAATCTGCAGCAATTTTTGAAGTACACGTCTCGTTTAGTAATTTTTTTTGACATATTTCAATCAAAATAGCCTGATTAAAGTTTATGCATCTGCATTCCATTTTTTACTAATAAAAATATGCCTCAATAACGGTAAAAATATGAATTGGATGCAAAATCACAACATTGTATAAAATTACGTGGTCCATCGCAAGGACGATCTCTCCGAGAGTCGCACAAATGACAAACAAGACTTCATCTACTATCAACGGCTATCCCCAGAGGGTTGATGGCGGAGTAGCAGCTTCATTGAGTTTTCCAAAATGACTGGAGTTTCCCAATTGGTTTGATTTAGAGCAAAATCTTTCAAAGCAAGTTTTGCGACCGAATCTACTATTTCAGAAAAAAAACCAAAATCAGTAAATGAGATTAAGTATGTGTTAAATATTGAATCACGACAGTAGTTTCAGTGAATATACTTATTTCGAAGGGGCGGCTAAATTCGAATTTCGACCTCTTATTTCTGATGCTGTGACATAAAACTCCGTCTTTACCGCGGAACATTTTTGATAACAATTTTTTCTCTCGTTTCGAGTGTCTTCTCAAGACCACAGCTCAATTTCAATATGCCAAATAATCTTTTCTGGGCCACACATGTCATATGGTCTGTAAAAAACAAGTTTTTTAAGAAACAGAAAATGCACTTATTGAAACTTGATGTTCTCATCATTTAGTGCGCGGATAAATCCTTTGTTCATAAAGAACCCGACTGACATCCAAAATCAGAACTTGTGCAAAAAGTTGCTGGAGGATTCACAGAAAATCGAGGGTTGAGATTCCATCTAAAATCCACCAATTCAACACGGAAGAGGGAGAAATGCATCAGAATTGGTGGCAAGAGAACAACTGTATTAAGGCATTGGGTCTTGTCGTGAGACATGGGAATACTGCACTTCGACGGAAATCCAAATGTATCAGAACAAAAAATTGCTGAGAGTGTGAGCAATGGTTCAGGGTTGAGCCTGGCCTGCCTTATTCACTTTTCTAAACGAGCTCCTTATAAGCCGGAAGTTAATGAATTTTCATCAATTTCTTACGATTTACTCACGATGTGTATATAAAACAAAGCTTGCCAATGCATATTTTATAATAAAGGCAGATTATATTTGTGTAAATGGCGCAAATTTTCTAAAGTCTTTTGTTTGAAAAAGAAAAGAATAGCTTAAAAACCAGTCTTTTCTTTCTCATAGTTCAATATTTCTAACATACCGAGGCTTGAGGAAAATCGGTCTTTCGGAATGTTTTTCATTTTTCCAGATGTTTCGAGAGTCATCCCAAAATCTGAGAAGCTGACTTTTCAAAGGCAATCAGTTTGATAAATTTCGCTTCTCAGGTGTTTGAAATCTCTTTGAATGAACCAAATGGGAGATAATCATAGATTTCTTATCCCCATGTAGTAGATCGTCCTCCAATCATATGGGCTGACCATTGTGGTGTTACCATTCGGAGGACTTTGCACACGCCAGAAAACGAGCACACTGAATAGCGATTTGCCCCATTCTGAGTTTCAGCTGCTCAAACGGTAGACATGGCGATGACTAATATCAGTGTGCGTTCAGTACTACATTATCAATTTAGCGACTAAATATTACATGGACTCAATCGTCATTTTGTAAATTTACTTACCAAAGAACGACGGCTTGGGTGTGTCAGGGTTCTGCATGTGTAAGTTTTAATGGAAAGCTTTTAGACCTTCATCCAAGTAAAATTGCACTTAGAGTCGAAAAGAGAGAAATTTTGTCTCAATTATATTAATACCACTTAGTTGGACACTTAAGCAGTTCGTCTTCACGAATTGTGCGAGGCTAGAATAGTTCCATTCGTCTCTTCTTCTCTCAATTGCGTGAGTTTCATACCGTGATGTGTAAAATGTCGGCAGCTGTGAGTACAGGTGATTAATTCCTCTAATCAACACGTCCGCCCAACGAGTAAGTGGTCGTCATCGGGTAAATTCACGTGAACTCCTTTTTATCGCTTCGTTTATCTGTCGTCTGACCTTCTTACTATATAACCGGCTCATCCGTGTTTCACTATGGTTGTGAATTCTCTTCCATCACGATGATGCGATAAATTTCGGGAGATCTGAGCTGCGCAGGTATCACAGAGTATCCGCATCTGTCATAATATTAGTGAGATTTAATCTTTGCAAAACGCAGCAGTTCTATTCTATCTGCTCTATGAATGTTAAATTTGAAACATCAATGGCTCTATAGAATTAATGACGCTGTTAAATCATCTACTCTGATATGGATTTACATAAACATTGAATGGGGCTAGTATACAATTCTGTGTTATAACAGTCCTGTGTTGCCGGAGTTTCTTATCATATTACTTCCGTGATGTTAATCTGAATTGCTGAGCAAGAAACAGTTTCGCTCCAGCAATGTTATTACACATTACACACAATACCACTCAAAGTTGAGAGTTCTTAGCGAATTTTTTCAAACAGAACTGTTCTGCTTGATCATGTGAGCAATGTTGGTTCGTAACACTGTCATATGTAGATTGTTGTATAGAAAAAGTCAGACCACTTGAGCGTGGCTGGAGTCAGTAAGGAAGGACACCGCTCTGAACACGATTTCATCCATGCAATGCTTCACACTGCTCGATTCGTCTCAGCGTGAGGTGATTGAAGAGCAACGTCGAAGAAAGAACAATCAGTGTAGATGCGACGTGAATAATTGTGATTCTGGTCAAAGCGGATTCTTCAAAATATTCACCAAATTTGCGTTTGCAAACAGCTTTGTGAAAGCCCTTTTACAAGCAATTTGATAACCTACGCAGCGGTTCAACAAAAATCGAAACCGAACGCTCTTTGTTCTTCAAAGATAATACAGTTCAAATTTCAACATGATTCAGTTTGTAAATAAAAACCACTCAAATCATAAGTTAATATAATCTATATGATTCTTTATCATTATTTGGGCCAACATGTCATCTGGTCTGGTAAGGGCTCTTGTACAGCCCGATACACGTGTTTCGTCCTTACAGACTCATCAGTCGGGCAGAACCAGTCGTCTTTCGATATTTTTATAGCCAGTTCTCTCTCGAGCTCTGCTTCCTTACAGAGAGTCATCGAAGACAAACGTTTTACACTCTATGTCAAGCGAAATTTTCACCCAACACAGAGTGTTTGCGCACTCCATTGCTAGCTGGCTGGTATTTTATCGCATTATACCTTTATTTCGAGTGCTTTATTAAGACCACGCTCAAATTTCAATTCTTTTTCTGACGAGTCTGTAAGAACGAAACACGCATATCGGGCTGTACAAGAGCCCTTACCAGACCACATGACATATTAGCTCAAATAATAATGAAAGGATCTACTGAATTTAACGTGATCTTAATAAAGCACTCGAAATAAAGGTATAATTTATATGATTTTCTCATTTCACCCCGTTTTAGTAGTTGCTTTGATGACAGATATAGGAATATTGCATGATAAGAAGAATTTCCGACTTCAGGTGGTATTCGGAACCGGTACAGGTTGATTGTTAGCAGATTCGACTATTTTTATTTGAAAAGCAAGCGTACTAAAGCGGTGACCTAGGTGTAGTGGTATTAGACACACTCGGTATGGGTGAAAGGTTATTGAAACAGCCAGTCTTCGTTGAGAATTTCGCATTTACGTAACATTACCGGATAGATGACTGTGCACGGTAGTGTTCATTTAAAAAAATGACCACTCATCAGTACTTCAAAAATCTCACCATTAGACAGTGAAAAAAATTCCATTTGTTAGGCTGTTATTCAAAAGACACGGTTTGATAGTGCTATCAAAAAACCATACACTTAGAATTTCACAAGGAATAGTGACATTTATTGCGCAAATTGTTTGTCCTTCTGTGAGAGTCATATTACCCGATTAGTCAAAGGACACGCACATTCCTCTGAATCCAATGTGCTACCGAGAATACTTCGACTCTAAACGTAAAGTATTATCAATATACCTAAGAAAATTGAGTGATGAGCAAAAAATGGCTTCTGACGGTAATTAAATCCGCGTTTTATCCTATCCGTGGACGCGTGCTCTAATACTACACCATCGAGGCACATTTGCCCGATCACTCATTCTTCAATTTCGAGTATTAGTTACGACAGGGGCTGTCAGCTCAACTGGGTTTATAAAGCGAAATCGCATACCCGACCAAATCTGTTAAAGGCTGGTGGATGATAGCTAACATAGAGATGCTGAAGAATGAGTGGTCGGGCAAATGCGCTTTGGTGGTGCAGTGGTAGAGCACGCGTCTCCGGATAGGTTTAAGCGCTGGTCCGATTCCCGCCTGAAGCCATGGTTTTGCATGCCACTCAATTCTCTTAAGTGTGTTGGCGTATCACTGCGAAAAAATGCAGTCAAAACATTAAATGTTTCTAGTATCAGTAAAATGTTGTGGCTTTTCTTCTGATGAAGGGAAGTTTGAGGGCACATTAAGCACTGTTAAGTTGTCGGCTCTTTCACAAAAAATCTACCAGTGTTAAATACTACTGAATAAGCAGCTGTACTTTGTCAATGAACTGTTAAGCGACGATCCGTTTCGATACTAAACTCCTCCTATGTTTTGAAGATGACGTTATGGTTGGTGAGCTAATTTTGGCCAGTTAGGAGCGAGCATCACCGTTGCTTCTTATAAACTGAAGAAACTATTATTGATTGCAAATGTTCAAGAAATCGAATATGAGAACACACTGATGGTTCGCAGCACCAACATTCAGTAGCAGCGAGATGGCAAACACTGCAAGGAAGTCTGCTTATTCATTGGCTCTCTTTTGCCGTCATCTGGAAGCAACTTTTGTTAAACCAAAGCGCTCCTAGGCAACACTCTTTTACGTTGTTAAAATTGCATAAACTTATCACAAAGACCAATTGACGCGGTGATGTGCCAACTAAATGGAACAGTTCAGCGTCCAGAAGGGCTTTGGAGAAAGTTAGCCACGATGACTACGCAGATCTCATTAGTGGTCACTTCTTGTATTGTCATATGAAATAAAGAAGGTTATGGTCATCGTCCTGTAGTTCTCCTTCGTCGAATTGCGGTACGTCCTCGTCATGCGCTGTCTTTGAATACGTTTCTTTTCAGTGAATCAACAAGACTGTGCTATTGTTCAAAAAGGTAAACTTATGCCGTAAACTATCACTCAATCTGCTAGTGTTTGTTGCCTACGAACTTTTCACTCGAGTGATCCCAAGCGCATTAACAGCACAGGAAGAAGGACGGTCTTCGAACATCAAGGTTTCTGAAAGTGCCAGTGCTATAAATCGTACAAAAAGAAGACTCACTGAGGCTTTCGAAAGCTCGAAAATTCGCTCTGTCTCACTTACATCTATTCAAAATACTCAATTCAGTTGAACAGAAGCAGTAAAAGGAGTTCTAGACAGCCAGACTGATCAAATGATTCTGAGTAATATATAAATCTTTCACAACAAAATGTCACCACTCTACGGCAATATTGCCATCGACGTAAGGGGGGATCGGTGAGGCCCTACAGTCTTGCCAATAATTCTGATGACCACTCACCGAAACACCATTCAAATATTAGAATAGTGCAACATGCAATTTCTATCAGTGGTCAAAAACCACCTTATCCCCTTTGTTCTGTCGACGTCGTTCCTGTAACATCAAGCATCAGCGAGACAGTTCGCCGACTTTAGATACAGACATGAAAGGTTGGTGATGAACTAAATTGAACAAAACAATGTTAATGAGGTACGTACCGGTTTTGAGTGCTCGATTACCCTGAGGGACGAGGTACAGCTGAAGTACACGATTGTTTGAAGGCCTTTCTCGCTGCATAAAAGCCTTCACACAGACAGACATGTCCGAGGTATGTTATCTTTACATAAAGAGCGGATTAACGCGAATAAACTTTCTAAAAACGTTGTTGTTCTAAAGAGTGATTAGCTCTCATGAGATCTATTTTCCAAAGGTATTGCCACGTCCTTGTGAAAAAATAAACAAACTTTCAACACCTATTGTGCATTTGTATCGCCTGTCTTGCGAGAACGTGACTTGAAAGCATATCTTTCACAACTAAACTTTTCTAATAGAGGTATTTGAAGGGAATTCTCATATGTACTATAAGTGTAGGAAGAGCGCGCGTTCATCATTGCCCATTATGCGCTACTTCCTATATCAGCATTCATATTGAAAAAAAACCCGCATTTTCTGCTCTTTGTAGACATTTTATTAGTTATTCGATAGCTCAAGTCTCGAAAATTTGAGTCATGTATCTTATTTTTTGGACGATTGTTATATTACACGGTAACAGTAAAAAGAAATTAATACTAAACAATCAAGCATCTTTCGACGAGCAAGGCATTTTCCTCAGAAAATTCAACTATTCGTCGATGACGCAAATCTCAGTAAATCTAATAGCGTCCTTGTTTTTCCAAGAAATCTCTTAAATGTGTTACAACACTGAAATTGAGATTGAAATACATATGCGAAGTGTGTCTTCCACCGGGATGTGAATTTATAGTGAAACATTGGCACCTAGCCGTCACCTTTCAAGAACCAATCAGTTACTCAAATTTCGAGGATTTCAATGGTGCCCTTGCTTTTGGAAAAAATTCTCTTTGCGAGCTGTAGCAACAAGGATAAAACTATGTTGCACTTGTGAGTATTTTTCGCTAGACACGGCTTTTCTCTTACGCTTTCACAACCATTCGATTGCGCAAACCTTGAAAAATTCAAAGATCTGCTTTTTGAAAAAACTTCTCAGTGTTTCGTTACAAGTAAAAAAATATAGAGTTTTACAATCGTCGCGCTGCGCACGCCACATGTAAAATGCGAGCACTATGGAAGCGATGGCGGGTCCGAGACTTGATAATCTTTTAGCTGTGACAACGCATTAAAACGTAATCAAGCTTATCATTGAAATTGCTGAGATTTGTGTTATCGAATGGCTACTGAAAGTCTGAATGGAAGCTTTTGTTGAGCGAAAGATATCTGAGTGTGAAAAAAATTTGGTACCTACATATTGCACGGCGACATTTCTTTAGGCCGATCTCGTTCGGTTCCCGAAAATTTCCCATAGGAGGATCAATGATCGTTCGAAAGCATAAATTTTGAGCTACAACTACACCTCAACGGTTTTTCAAAACTTATAAATCTGTAGCATCCAGAATAAAATTTTGTTTTTCACTTGCTATTCGTCTTCATTTTTACCGCGAGCATAAATTACTGGAAGAACGAAAAGCATATCAGCATGTAGGAAATTCTTCGTAGTATCAGGACGTACACTTCTATCTAAAGAGTCTGCCGATGCCGTAAAAAATCCTCAGTAAAATCACATGGGTTGCCACAGTTTTAGTGCATAATGCGGCAGACCACTACAGAGTTACGCAGTAGATCAGGCGATTACCTTACTGACAAGTCGTTGCTGAGGCTTTCGTTCACATTTTACTCGTTTTTCAGTGACTTTGCTTACCGGCCAACTCACGGAGCGGGGAGGACGCCCAATCGTGTTTGAAATTTTGTTAATCAATTGGGAATTTCTTCACCACATCGACAGAAACTTCAGGTGGAAACGTAGACTCTGACGCTAGCGAAAACTGTCTACACGGTCATATGCTTTTGGTGCTTCTACGTGGTGTACGCGTGGCAAAAATAAAGACGAAAAGCGAGTGTGGAACAGAAATTCATCCCAAATGATACAGCCTTATGAATGGGCATTATAAAAAATCGACGACGATAAGTTGTAGCCAACGATTTGGGCTATCGAGATTACTAACACTTCTGTAAAAATTTCATGTCCAGCGAATGAGATCGTCCTAAATATCGGTCGCCGTCTGGCATAGAAGCATCGCAAATTTTACTTCTCCTTTACAGCATAATATAGAAATCATTCGAAAAGTAAAACACACCCTTCAGGTTCGCGATGCTCAAGCTGTCGAATACTATAGCCTCGAAAAGGAATGAAAAATATTTTATTTGAATATGGGTTCGGATGGGAGAGATGTACCAAGAAAACTTCTCTGTCGACACATATTTACGACCAATAATTTGCATAATACCGATGTTCTAAGACTTTTATTCAACACGGTTGTCTCTTACCGCTCAGAATTCTTTCGCTGTTCATAAGTAGTCAACCATTTCTCGCGTACGTCAACTTTGAATAATTGGAAATAAATGAATGAATGATATAAATTTAGTTCAGAGTGAGAGTTTTCGATAAACAGGATCGAATACAGCATGCGCAATAATTTTGAATAAAATAACTAGTTGTTTTTCAAATTTTATTTGCTATGATAACTTTTCAGTCTTGTATGATACTAGAGAAAAGCAGAACTGAAGATTTTTCTTGTATTTCTCTGTGTACAATACAGTGCAATTTATTAAATGCCAGTTTTATTGCTATTTCGTAGTAAATCAGCGTTATTCTTTGAAGAAAGCACGTATAATTGAACCAAAAGCATATGAGCGAGTAGAGAAAATCTTGTTCTATCAGGACAACAAGACAATTCTGGAAATTTCTGCCAAATGAAGAGAAAAACGTTAGTCAAACAACGGAAATCGCGAAATTCGCCCTGCACACATCGATTTCTTTAGCCATCCGTCAAGGGTTAGGAATCTATCTTTCAGTTCACAGTATTACTTTTCAGTGAACACCGTGCTACTTTGAAAAAGTCCAATGAAAGTTTAGCAGGTACAGAACTGTTATGAGAAGTAATAACGTCTCCATGGAAGTGTTATTTCACTTGAACTCGAAGAAAGAAAGGCTTTATCCTAATCAGTCTTTTTGCGAATGACAAATCAAATGCACCGCCGACGCCGTAAATTTAGGGGGTTTTCAAGAGCCTTTTTACGGACGCCGAACAGAGTGGTCAGGCAATTCCATGTTGCAGCAGTCTGAGTAATAGCATGGTTGAGCATGGTTGAAGCAAAAAGCAGCTCGGCTACGCAATTTTCTTGCACTTTGAACACATTACTGTGCTATGCCAACGAATTTCAGCCAGTGCGGTGGCGAAAGCTGTTTTGTCAATGATTCTACGAGCAGCATTGTTTAGAAGCTCCTTTTTGGATCGTTGCAAAGTAGGCATCAGGTCATTGTAGCATCGATAGATCCCGATAAGAAAAGGCAACATTGAGAACAATACTTTGTCAGTGCGGTGCATCAACCTACTGGATTAGATTAAATGTGCCGGCAGTGAAGATCAGCATCGCAAGATAGCGGAAAAAACAAAACCTAGATAGAGCTCGTCTATTTTTTATCTAAATTTGATCTACGACCCCGTATTCCAAGTTTATTGTCATCTGTGTTAGATCTCATGAGACCTTCTTAGCTTCAACT